ACATCGGTGGCAAGAAGTGATGGAAAAGTTCAGTATCTTCAGCCAAAATAAGGCCAGGAGCTCATTGTGGAACAGATCATCAACTGCTCATAAGCAAGTTCAACTTGAAGTTAAAGACAATTAAAACAAGCCCACGAGAGCCAAAATAAGATCTTGAATATATCCCTCCTGAATTTAGAGACCATCTAAGGAATAGATTTGATGCATTGAACACCAATGACCGAAAACCAGAAGAGGATCATCCATGAAGAAATCAAGATGTCATTAGAAAGATGAGACAGAAAGAAAAGACCAAAATTGATGTCAGAAGAGACTCTGAAACTTGCCCTTGAGTGAAGAGTAGCTAAAGCAAATGGAAGAAATGACAAGATAAAAGAGCTGAATAGAAGATTTCAAAGAGCAGCTCGAGCAGACAAAGCCAATTACTATAATGAAATGTGCAAAGACATGGAGTTAGAAAACCAAAGGGGAAGAACACACTTGACATTAGTCAAGCTGAAAGAACTGAGGAAAAATTTAAGCCTCAAATTGCAATATTGAAAGATTCTATTGGCAAAATATTGAATGATGCAGGAAACATCAAAAGAAGATGGAAAGAATACACAGAGTCACTGTACCAAAAATAACTGGTCAATCTTCATCCATTTCAGGAGGAAGCATATGATCAAGAACCAATGGTACTGAAGAAAGAATTCGAAGCTGCCCTAAAAGAATTGGTGAAGAACAAGGCTCCAGGAATTGACGGAATACCCACTGAGATGTTTCAACAAACGGATGCCCCGAGGGAGGCACTCACGAGTTTATGCCAAGAGATTTTGAAGACAGCTACCTCGCCAACTGACTGGAAGAGATCTATATTTATACCCATTCCAAAGAAAGGTGATCCCACAGAATGTGGAAATTATCGAACAATATCATTAATATTGCATGCAAGTAAATTCTTTATTAACAGAGAACTTCCCAAAATGCAAGCTGGATTCAGAAGAGGACAAGGAATGAGGACTATCATTGCTGATGTCAGATGGATCTTGGCTGAAAGCAAAGAATACCAGAAAGATGTTTACTTGTGTTTTGTTGACTATACAAACACATTTGATTGTGTGAATCTTAACCAGTTGTGGATAACATTGAGAAAAATGGGAATTTCAGAACACTTAATTGTTCTCATGAGGAACCTGTACCAGGAGGCTGTCATTCAAACAGCAAATGGGAAAACTACATAGTTTAAAATCAAGAAGGGAGTGTGTCAGGGTTGTATCCTTTC